TGTGCTTCTTTTAATGTTGTACGCCGCCCTGAGTCCTTGGGAGAAGGGCGGCATATAAATCTAATAAACCTAACCTAAACCTAATCTGTGGGTTGGAGCAGGAGACAGAATTGTCCTCCAATTTGCTGCTTCCTGAAAATGATTTCCAAGCCAGGTGTGCATTTCAGGAAAGGGCTGGATAATAAACCTTTACCGGAAGTCCTCAGGGCAATCGTGAATGTTACCGTGGGACGGTTTTGGGACTCTCGGGCATAGATGGAGGTGGAGGAGGATGGGCATATACTGGGTGTAATGGAGCAATTTGAAATTGCTTGTTTTTGAGTCAAGGATCCAGTTTGGGTCTTCTGTTGGCAAGACACGTGTAAAAGCACAGAATCTGTTTGCGTTTTGTTTTGCTTTTGGTGGGGGATGATAACTTTATTCAAAACTGGGATAGAGGGTAATTGGGTCAAAGAGTTTAAAGAGCTACAGATTTACCAGCATCTGTCTTTTCCTCAAATTCCATTCATGGTTAGCTGCAAGTCAATATTTGAAAGTGAGAATCATCTGGTCTTTTTTGGTTGTTTGTTTGTTTATTCTTCTACAATGTCTGTAGGTCCAAAGCTGGATTTTCCAGCTTTAAATCTGACCAGATGAGAAATTGTCCCATTTCTGCTAATATTTACAACAGAACTCTGGCAATTGATTGTTAGTCAACCTTTTAAATTCAATCCCTAATGAAACAGGCAAATATTTTCATTTGAGAAAAGGGAATTTTCCAAGTATTTCTGAGCAGTATGATACAGTGATATTTCTGACATGGATTTTAAAACTAATTTCTAATTTAGCTATGTAAATAATTGCTGCCTCTTGTTGTTAGTGCCTCACTAACTTCTTATTTTTAAATCTTCAGTGTCTTTTTTCCTAATAACCAGTTTCACATTAATTTTAAGTCATTCTGATGATGAGGCACCTTTTTTCAATTTCAGCTGAATATCCTGCTTTTCCTTGTTTTTCCTTAATGACATTGATTCTTGTCTCAGATAAATAAACTGTTTTTGTTTTGCTTTGTTCTCTGTTTAGAGTTCTTACGGCCATTTTGTGCAAGCCGAAAATTATTTCCAACTCTTTTAACAGCTGCTGTCAGGTTATTTAGTCACCACTTTCCTCTTATCTTTGATTGTATACCCCAGGCCATTTTATTTGGCAGGGAAAAAATAGGTATGAATAGAGAGAAAAATAAGATAGTGGCCCAGAGGTGAAGACTCTCGCCTCCCACTCAGAAGGCTGAATGTTTCATCCTGGGCAACGGCAGATGTTTCTTTCTCAAGGCACAAAGAGAAAATATCTGCTGCAGACTCCGCATAGGTGTCAGGAAGGGCATCCGGCCAATAAATGCTCAGCTCCATACAGTTGCCCCAACCCCACTCCACAGTAAGGGATTAAAAGGGTCGTAGAAAGAAAAGAGAGAGAGAGAGAGAGAGAGAAATAGATATGAATAGATTTCAGCTTCTTTTCTATCAGAATTTCTGTCCGTTGACTTCCCTTGGAGTCAGCCAAACTTTGCAAATAGGTTTCTGGGTGCTAGTTGTGGATGAGTGTAATCACAGTGGTAGAGATTGTGAGTCAGGCAATTAACAGACTGGAACCTAGTTCTCACATCTACTGGCCTTCAAGTGTCAAATAGGCAAATGAACCGTTAACTACTATCCTGTAATTCTCAGAATATTTATAGAATTAAGCTTCTATACCCAGAAAGCGCATGCAAGCTAAATCGGAACTGCATCTGTGCTTCTAAAGTGTCTGTAACTGTACTAGCAAAAACGAAGATCCTGGTGAGGGTTTGCTAATTTCTTTCCCGCTTGGTTTCCCTGTTTTTTTTCTCTCTCTTTTCCCCACAGCTTACTAAGACAGCTCCAGGTGTCAACTGCCTGGAGTCCATGTGTTGCTTCTCCGATGGGGAGCCAGCCTGCGCATCTTTTAGAAGAATGCTGGAGCGAGTAATGGGACGATGCAGCCCCACCCGAGTCAACAGGTGTGGAATTTCTCTGAAATGCCTTTGCTGCAGACAGTTCTCCTATAAACTGGAACACGATGAGCCGACAGCTATAGATGTCTAGTTTCCTAGACAGGAAACCACCTTTTCCTAGGTTCAGTCTGGGATCTTCAGAGAAGATCCAAGTTTGTGCTTTGAATGTGGGGGGAATGAGAGATCGTTGCGTTATAACTGGTTGTTGTTGAAAAACTGGTTGAATTTTGTTTTTGTTTTTTAATGACGCTGTCTATTCTCTGATCCTGCAACTGCTATTGTGCCTTTTAGTGGCTTTGGCGTTATACGCTGTCTCAGGCGAGCGCTTCCCTGTAGTTTCCCATCACCGGCCAGTGATTCACAAGCGTGTTTTTTTCTTGCCCTGAGCTCCCTGTGTGCATCATTTTTGCCTTTGTACTTAACATGCACATTTCTGTATAGTTTCTCCCCTTCCCTTGTATGTCTTTTTCCCCCCCTGAAAGTCAGACCAACGTCCTCGTTTCCCTTCCCCTTTAGCTGCTTCGCCTTTTGAAATCAGAAGGCTTGAGCGGTATTTGATCACCATGTGTCTCCCCTTCTAGACATGCAGCCAAGCTTCCTTTTAGCTCCAAGGTTTGCGTTCTGTCCCCTGAAATTTTCACTTCAGGGGGGGGGGGTGAGGAAAGTAGCTTTCCTCTATTTCTTGTTCACCAACTGTGTGAAAGTCAATTACTTTTAACAATATGAAACAAAGCTCGCATCTGAGTAAAAACATTATAATCTAAAGCCATCCCAAATTATGATTAAAAGTAGACCTCTTTTTTTAAACTAACACGAAGCCATTCAGAAATAAATGCTGAGCCTATTTATTTTTTCGCTAATTTGTACAGGTCTGTTGTTTTTTTTAATTTTGAAAAGATCCTCAACAGGAAGATCAATGAGAACCAATTCTTAATTTACAGAAGATTCTATCTTAAAAAGTACAGGTGAAAACTCTACGGATATGTAGAAAAAAGAAGGTTAGGAAATCAGTTTTTGCCCCGTGTTTCTATACCCTTGTTTAAATGCCAGGTTACAATTGTTTTCTTCTTTCCTCGGTGATATAAGCGTCAGCTGAGAGAATGTTGTTCAATCTTGGTCACAGTTAAACAGCAAGCTTGAGTTGAGATAAGATGAGATCAAGCAAATTATTAGGGTGAGATTCCCAGAAGGCATGGATGTCCTGCAGTCCTCTTTGGACTGCAAAGAAAAGGAGGATACTGCTTTCAAAAGGATCAGGTGAAACATCTGAAGATCTTACAGATGGCCACACAAGTTGGGAGTACAGCTACCAGGTCTCTGGGGAAAAAGCCGGACAACAGTTGGATGGCATAAGGAATTAGTTTTCTATATTCGTTTGCCGCTATCTATTGGTCAGCTGGATATTTGCAGTCCTCATTTAAGGATGCAGTAGCTTTTTATGAGTGGCTACTTATTTTTTTTTTAAAAAGTTGGAAAACATACTGTGGTCACTTCTGAATTGTAATTCTCAGTGCTCATCTTTCTGATTAATTTTCTTTTCTTATTGATTTTCTTTTCTATAAAAAAAACCCCAATATCCTCAAGTGTGTTAATCCCTCTGCAGCTCCGTTTTTTAAGTTTTTACTAAAGTGATTATTTTTTTCCTTCATAAAATGGAAACTGTTACAAGGCGGATTTTAAAAAAAAATAGCAACCTGTCCCTCTTTGTAAAGAAAGAAGGCAAGATGTACAAAATAAAATATTTCCTAGACATTTTTAAAACAGGAGCAGTATCTGATTGATCTAACATTAACCTTTTCTCCCCTGGGGGTAAAGATTTCTGATAAAAGTACATTTGCACCTCTTGGATATTCTCTACCATTAGAATGCCCACCTGCCATTATTACTATGCTTGGAGAATGCATGGCATGAGGTCTTGTCAGTGGCAGGGCTGCCTGGCAGGAGGGTATACAGTGGTCTCTCTGTAATTCACCACGCAGAGATACTGTGAACTCCTTCCTCTGCAAGTTTCAGGATTTCTTTAACCCAGAGGCATACATGTTGCACGCCAAACACAGAGCCTTGATCAAACCATCATGGTTGCTGTCTTTACTTTTTAACCAGCCCCTGTGGATAGTCCTCCTTCATCCCCATGATCAAAGAGAGCAACCTTGATTGCACCAGAAATTTCATATCAAGCTCTTTCGTGTTCACCCTTTAAAATGATTGTTATCCACCTTGTTCTTACATGGGAGAGTGTTAACGTTTGTTGTCACTGTTGGGTTGTATGCATGCCACACGTGTATCCCATTCAGGCAAAAACACAGCAGATTCATCCTCATTATATGCTAAGCTTGGTTAGTGTAAACCTGGCTAGTCTTGTTCTCTGCTTTAGCCTAGTGTGCAGACTATGATGGGACAAGAGATTGTGCCAATCCGCAAAAAGTGATTTAATTAGTTAATGATGGTAAGCATGCAATCTGGATGCAGCCTTGGGTTGGAAATTGAAGTTAATTTGGAGGGGTTTACTCCTATCTCATTAGCCCCATCTTAAGTCATACGACAATGTGATGCTACATTGTTGGAAATGAAACAAGCGAAATACGTATTCAGAGGTCTGTGCTATCTTGTACATTGAGAGTTTAATTATGGTTCTTGCAAAAGGTAGGTGTCGCCATCTTCAAAATCAACTTTGAATAAATACATCTTGTGGTGTGTTTTTTTAAAAAAAATGCTTTTCTGTTTTCTGTATCTTAACAAAGACAAAGATATGATTTGACTCTCATGTTTGATAGAAGATGAAGTACTCCTCCCTCATCTGATCTGCAGGCTGATATGTGGAAGACGGATTGCCAAAATAGTACTTTGAAATTCTGCTGGGTTTTCTCCCAATTAGAGCAAACCTCTAAATTGTCGTTAATGTATATTTTAAAATGCAAGATTTAAAATGATACTGCCTTCCAGGCACTTTGAATGGGGTCTAAACTGAAGCATTTCGTAATGCAACAATTGATTTTCCTTGATTCCTTAAAATCAAGGATTTAACGGTGATGACAATCTGGGACAGGACTGTCATTTCCCAGATTTGATTGGAACCGAAATTATTCGGACATACGACCCTTCAGTATTTTGTTTCCTACCTAAGCAAAATATTAAGAAATGCCTATTTTCAAGGTACAAAACTCACACACTTTGTAACCATTCCTTATGAGCAGGCAGAGTTACAAAGTGGACGTAGCCTTATATTTTGATTTGAGGATGTATTAGTCATTCTTCTTACAATAGTAGCTGACCTGGATATAAGTTAAAAATATTTCCACAGAGGTTTACAGAAGTGACCCAAATAAAATGTTTTCTGCAGGCCATTTCTTTATTTGTTCCATCGTAAGATAATTAGTAGTATAGACGGAACAAGCTTTACTTCATCTGTGCCGTATTACACAACCCTCCATGCCGGTCTTTGTGGAGATGATGACCTTTGTCTGAAGCCCATTAAGATACCCTCCACGTCTCAGGTGAAGAGTCCAATTGGCAGGTGTACATTACCCAACACCCTACACATCTAAACTGATTTCTGTGGTTTTAACCGACTACGAAGGAAAGTTGTGTTGCCAACCAAATAATCTTTGTACTTAATATTCTGTCAAATATGAGGAGCAGAGCATGAAATCAAATCTATTGAATAATTTGGATGAGTGATCTCGTATTTCATCTAATTGTGTGCCTAAATGCTTGGAGTGTAAAGGAAAGAGATGCAATACTTAACCTTCTCTTTAACAGAATGAAGATCTGTTTTAATCAAATCAATTAGCAGAGCCTTAGAACCATTTCGTGTTTTCATTGTGCAGTTTTCTCCAAAATCATCAAAATCTGTTCTACATTTCTCTTCCATCCAACTGTCGCTTGCATTGATTGCTCCAAATCCGATGTTGTGTTATTAAACATATCCACTTGCAGTGTTTTGCTCAGCTGATTTTGGGTGGCTGGGGGGGGGGTAGACATTTACACGGTCTCTCATTTGGGAGGGGAGGGGGTTGCACACCAATTATAGGATTCCTTCAGTTTCTTAAGCGCTCTGCTATTTATTGCATAATCCGCATTCTGGATGCATGAACCTGCTAGAATACAGTGGCGTGGGGAACTATGGCCCTTGCTGGCTCAGGAATTCTGGGACTTGAAGTCCACAAGTCATAAAGGACCCATAGTCCCCCTCCCCCCCCCCTCTGCTTTAGAGCAGTGTTTCTCAACCTTGGCCACTTGAAGATGTCCGGACTTCAACTCCCAGAATTCCCCAGCCAGCGAATGCTGGCTGGGGAATTCTGGGAGTTGAAGTCCAGACATCTTCAAGTTGCCAAGGTTGAGAAACACTGCTTTAGAGCATGTCTGTGTTTACATAAAACCTTCACACCTACGGAGCTCTGGATTAGAGTAACTCTATGAAAGCAAGTCACGTTTTAACTCCGATCTAATAATATGGGTCTTCCCAAGAAGGCATGCAACCCTAGCATTTCTGATCCTGGTTCTGGGAGTTTTTCTGCAACTCTGCCTAATTTGCCATCAGAACTTTCGATCATATCTTAAGTCATTTTGGATATATGTTTCTGAAAACGCCTCTGGGACCAAAACGCAGGTTTCCCATCAGCAAACGTTTCTTTCTTGTTATTGCTTTAGATCATGGAGCTCTACGGAACCTCTGTCTACCAGCGACCGAAGCTTCTTGACGTTATCCACAATGGAATCCATTACTTGAGATTTTTCTCAATGCCTTGTGGAAAACCATGACATCTTGGTTGTAACCAATCTACCGGCCCCTTGTGGCATCCTTTTTAAATGTCATGGCCATATATTAGAAGATCGAAGTCTTGGTATTTGGAACAAATACTGTTGAAAAACTATACATTCCAGTGGAAATCTTAGCATTGTGTAGATGGATGCTTATAATTTTCCATCATCACATTAGTAATAATAATAATAATAATAATATACTAGAAACCCTTCAGAAAAGCGACTGCTTTGATTCCCAAATA